TTTTTAAAATCTGAAGTTTATCATAAGATCATGATTAGAAACAGGTATTTTTGAAAATTAGTACCAATAATTATCGTTCAAGTGCTAATAAGCCATCCCTCCTATTTGCATGAATTTTATTTTTGGACATAGGCTATGTGAAACATCTCTATTCCCTGACAAGACTTCCATTATTTCTAGAATCTGAAACCAGATACAAAGCTTCTAAAATAATAATGTTCAGTGAACAGGCTTTATTCAAGCTTTTCTTTTTCCTAGTCCAAAGAAATTATTTCAGGGTCCGAAGTGGTTCTAAGAAGTTGTGTTTTCCTTTTGTTACTCACCCTCTTGTCACATTTAAGGGGGGGCTCTGCCCTCTACATCTGAACTCTATGTGCTTGTGAGGAAGAGACTTCTTCACTTTTCCTGCCGGATCCTTGTTTACCATACCTTCTCTCTTGCCCTTTATTTCATATGCACACTGCCCTTTTTCTTTGAGCTGTCTCCTTAAGAAGATGCTGACAGCTCATTCTGTGCTACATGGCTGGCTTTAACACACAGGCTTTGGCTACCACTGTTCAAGTTCTTAAAGACTGTAATTCCTATCAACCTCTAGGCCTGCTGACCTGCAGGAGGAACACCATCTGGGGTTTCACACTGAAAATAAATACATCCTTCACAGTACTGTAAATATTTCTTTGTAAGCAGCCCAAGGGCACTGCTGCACTACTATTTGAGTTCAGCGCGTGCTGTAAGAGAACATATGCAGACAAATATTTAGGCAAGATGAAAAGTTTATAGCACATCTTGAGTGCATTATTTGGTTTCATTTTGGACTGGGTGTAACTTCAGAGAGGGGGCGTTGCTTTGAGAATGTTATACGAAAAGTGTTGCCAAACATTCACCAGTTAATCAACTGCAGGTACAATAAAGTTGGCACATGTGATCCCCTGACAGAGATTTCTCGTTTTCTGCTGGAGCAATATCCTTGTTAATATATTGTTTATCAATAATTCCAATGCTATTAATAAAATATTGTCAATCTGTGAAAGCTTATGCTGATTTTGACAGTTTAAGGTGAGCACTGAGGACTGATATTCTCACAGAAAGCAACTTCCAACAACCATGCCTGAAAAGGCCCACAGCAAACAAAGGACTACACACTGGTTTTGCATGGAGTATTTCTGCATCCTAATGTTTCCAGTGTAAACCAGAGATACAACATAAAATCATACAATTTGTTGAACTTGTTATTCTGTGTATGTAATAGCAATATATATCCTGCAGTTATGTATTTTTATATGTTATATAGGCACATAGACAACTAAAACATGAATATATCACATCTATTTACTACGTCAAACATTTCCATTTGTATACATAACCTTTAGCAAACATGTATGCAAATATAGGCAAAATATCTAGGTTGCTCTGAAAGTAATGCCTTCTATTTATTTCAATTGAAACTACAACACATAGAAAGAACATGAGAATACTATTTGTTAGGGAAAATTCTCAGCTATGAAAAAATATTTTTCAAAATAGTCACCACCATTAGCTATGTATTCTTGCCAGAAACGAAAGAGAACCTGCATGTTGTACTTGTAAAAGTCTCCATGGTTTTCCAGAATGCTGTCACCACTGCTGAAATGCACCACCCACCAATTCACTGTGCTCACATCCACTGTTTGGGTTTCATAAATGTTCAGCAAGCATCGATGAATGTCAATGGGTGCCATTTTTTCTGTATGGAGAAATTCAATGACACATGCTTGCTTCATCTGCTCTTTCATGTGAGATGCCGTTCTGTCAGACTGTCCCTCTGCTGCCATTTTTCACATAGTAACAAAAAGAAATGGAATATTGGTGGGAAGTTTCAGCTTCTACAGCCATACCAACATCTACCTCTGGCATTGTGAGCATTACTTTCAGAGTAGCCCTCATAGAAAAGCAAAACCAAGCACTCTGTTAAACATGCCTTCTAGGGAGATGAGAACAAATGTTTGGGAGATGTCAATAATACTTGCTGAAGTGCAATGTGTCTCTTAAGAGTAACAGAGGAATCCACACACAAAGACCACCCACCTGAATTCTCCTAGTGTTTATTATCTTTGTAGCTGTGATGCAGCATAACATACTGTTAACCGTTTTTTTCCTGCAGATGGAAATAAGCTAGACAATCAAATGGAAGAGAAGAAAGGAACAATTTAAAACAAACAAACAAACAAAAAAATAACTGTTTTTTGACTTGATTAAGAATTGGGTTACAAAACATTTATTGCTAAGTTTTTAAAGTTGCCAGAGAATTAGCCACTTAACTAGATTGAGTTTTAGTATGTCTTAGGTGCACAATTCTGTTTAATAAGCATATATGCGCTCATGACATAATACGTTTTAAAACAGAGATCACTATTGGAAGGGTAAGTAAAAAAAGAAGTTAAAAAGTGAGGCTATAACACTAACTATCTCTAGATCATAGGTGAAGCTATTTGATATTATCCCCTGTAAAAGTTCACATAATCATTAAACTGAAATTTACAGTGATGCTTTGCATACTTGTGCCCATGAAATACTACTCATTTTTAAAAGGAAACCTAGTAATTTAAGCAGTACATCACTCTTAAGTGTTGAGCATCTGGTCACAGATTTATATGTCAAAAGTGAGTTTTATTCCCAGGGATTTCATCACATTGAAAAATCCATGTAGGATCAGAGTCCTATGTATTCTTAAACTGGGAGAGAGTATTTTTATCGATTACATGTGACTACATTGTAGATGCTATTTCAAGAAAGAAACTGTATTCTTATAGTACAAATAACATTGAGAATAGGGAGGATAAAACAATGGCAGCTGATGAAATGTATAAGTCTAACTAGCACTGAGAGCTATTTTAAAGACAAAAGGCAAAATATGGATTCTTAATTACAGAATCTGAAGATTTCCTACCTGCTTCCAATTTCTGTCACTGCTGAGTTAGAACAGAAGTGATAAATGACATATGAATACGGGAATGTAAAGAAGAAATATTGCACATATTTTCACTGAAAGTACTGCTACACACAACAGATACAATATATATATATTAATATGATTAAGTTATTAAGATAAATTCAAAATATAGTGCTAATGCACCCCTAGTTATTATCTGGGCATCCATTTTATGAGAAGACATTTAATTACCTGATCACACTCATTTTTGCAAATGACCTCTGCCACAGTTACTGCATAACTCTCTAAAAAAAGAATAGCAAATTTCCTTGTAGATTATTCTGTTATAGTCATAAAAACAGAAGGAGAAGGATGAAAATTAATAACTTTCTCAGCATCTCTGTATTGTGTTGTTGTTTTTTTTTTCCCTTACTTGAACAATGGACTTTATTTTCCACAGCCTTATTCATGGAAATAACTGTATTGTTGTGGGTGAAATTAGTAAAATTTAAGGTACGACATGCAACTTTGAAAATTTCAAACTATTAAGTGTGGGAAAGTTATAAATCACTGAAAAGTGGGTCTGATAAGCAGAAGTGTCAAGAAATGTCTATAGAAGGTATCATTAGAAATGTCCCCCATAACTGCACAGATTTTCCCAGTCTGCCCCAGATTCAACTCCATGTAACAATTTCAATATGGACTGTAAGATTTAAATCTCTCTAAAAAAATCTGAATTTGGATAAAGATGAAAAAAAGATAGATGGTGGGAGAATAGTTTACAGCTGAGAATCTACAACAGAGAAGATGCTGATGTGAGGACTTCAAAAATCCAGGATTAGGAATGAGTAAAGAGAATTGCTTGAGAACAAACTACTGACCAGCTTGAAGCAGACAGCTACAATTACAAACAAAGATTAGGGGGAACAGAGAACTGGGCTTGTCTGGGAAATCACAGTTGGAATAGACAAACTGGATTGCTGGAGACAGAGTCGGGAATGGAAAACTTAGATTAAGACATAAGGAAAAGCTCAAAAGTCAAGTGAAAGTCAGGTTAAATGAAAGCTGTGAAATAGGCACTAAGCTCCTGTAATAGATGATGCTAGCTTTGAATAAGGAAGATTAGAATTAGGGAAGTCAGATTTTTCAGGGAAAAGCTGACATTCTCCATTATATTTGAGTTTGAATGGACTGAAGTGACAGAAAAAGGCTAGCACTGGTAGCAATAAATCAGAATTTATCACGAGTCCAGACTGAAGGAAGAGAAAACAAGGAAAAGTGGCACTCCTAGGAGCATATTGCTTCTGGAGCATATATCAGGACTCCTCACTGTACCTTTGTACAGACAAAGGTAAATATTTATTACTGCTGAAATAGCCATTTCATTTTTTGATGTCTTAGATGGCACTCAAGTTGATACCTTGATAATACTGAAACTTCATTAGCAGGAACATATGCTGTGTAAAGCATACAGCTGACAGATAGCAAGCTTTGAAAAATGTTTGAGTGTACTTGAATGCTGTCAAGGGAAAAAAAAGACTAGGTCAAATCCTTGCTTCTGTCCCCAGATTTGATGCCATACAAGCCACTGACATCATACTTCCTTAAAGTGATCATTCTATACTCTTCCTTCCCCCATTATTTTTATTTTTTAGATAAGATGTCAATTCAGGTAAAAAAAAAATCTGGAATTGTGTTGCACAAGAGTCTCACACACAAAATGTGTAGCATTTCTGTAGCAGACCAGGGTAACTTAACTCAGATCAGTGATAACCATTAATACTGACACTATTTCTCATATTCAAAATCTAACTCTGGAAATTCCTCTATTGTTTAAACAACAAGTATCAATGCAGTGATTTTTATGCTTGTGGTTTTCTTGTGTTTCCTGGAATGAGCACACTCACTCCTCATTGAAATTACTTATGCTTTTTGTTGGAAATGTCCAGATAATTTTTGTCAGGTAGGAGTACACCTATGGACACAACATGATGGTATTTATACCCTGTTTTCTCCCCCTTCCTCCCCTCCCCTCCCCTGTTTCCCCACTGGCTGGGTACTCCAGGTTCACAATCTTATCAGAAGATTTACATTTGTTATTTACTTGTGAATTTATTTGTTATCTGATGTCAGTCCTGTCCTCCTGTTGTTTCCAAGATGTCTCAGTGCTCTTCTTGTCTTATTGATGTGGTGATTTTCTTCAAAGTCTTCATTAAACAAAGAGTGTCCAGATTTTTCCACAAGGTATCTTGTCATCTTCTGTTTCGTAAATACAAAGCTTTTATATAATTTAAGGAGCAATTAAGGGTTTAGGTTTTGATACATTTATGTGTAAAGCAACTGAGAAGCAAACCACCTCATTAAGGATTTGAAAGTGATTGAATATTGAAAAATACATATTGCATATGCTTTATTGATTTCCACTGGCAGTTTCCAATGGTTTTAATTCTTATCTGACTCCCTAAATGTATTTGCTTGCCATGTGCAGTAGGGATTTTTAATTAATAATATTCCCAAATCTGCACATTAAATATACTATGTTTTGGTCCCTTTGTAATTATGAGCATTTTGAAGCTTGAACTGTGTGAGCATAATTGATGAATTAAAATCACTTTGTCATGTGGAAAGATAAACATTTCTCTCTTTAGCAGATATTTTAAAAAATCTGCATCATGTAGAGGAGAAGATCAAAATTAATGTCACCTCACTTTATGTCCTTAAAATACTAGGAACCTAGCTTCCTGTCTATACCCTTCTTTTTTCTTGGCTCCAAGCTTGCTTTTTGAGATTTCTTGCAATAAGACTGATTATGAGGTGAGTGATGGGTGTCACCAAGTGGCAATCAACATCACTTAGTGGACAGTTTTACATTTGAAAGACCAAGAGTGTTTACAGGTGGAAGATACGGCTTGTGAGATAATAGCAACCTACCTGTTCCAGTGCCTCATCACCCCCACTATAAAAGAGTTTTTCCGTACATCCAACCTAAATCTATCCTCTTTGAGCTTGAAACCATTTCCCTTTGTCCTACCACCACAGATACTGCTGAAGAGTCTGTCCCCTTCTTTCCTGTAGGTCCCCTGTAGCATACTGAAAGGACGCTATTAGGACACATTGGACCCTTCTCTTCTCCAGGCTGAACAGCTCCAGCTTTCTCAGCTTGTCCTCATAGGAGAACTGTTCCATCCTTTGGATCATTTTTGTGGCCCTCCTCTGCATGCACTCCAAACGGTCTGTGTCTCTTCTGTACCAAGGACACATCTGGACACAGAACTCCAGGTCGTTTTCAAGATGTTCCATGTGTTCTCTCTTCACTTGTGTTATTTTTTTTTTTCTGAGAAAAAATAAAGCCACCTATATGATTGCTGGTTTTTAATGAATAAAATGAAAAAGTACAAGCTGTCACTCAGAAGGAATATTCAATTAATTAGCAAATAAGTGTGTATTTTTCTTAAGTGCTACGTAATTTAAACCTAGTATCAATAATTTAGACACTACTCATCTCTAGTCAGCAAGCTTTGTAATGAAGCCAAGTGAGTATTTAAATAACTTCTACTATTTGTTCCTCATACCCAGTAAAAATTGCCCATTTCTTAATAGATGAAATGTCATGATAACTGTCCTAATCAAAATAAATTAAAATTTCCCTACCAACCAATGTATACATTCTAGTTGATGCAGGAAGAGTAGGCAGAAACTCATGTAAAATTTTGATGTTTAAGATCTAATCTTGTAAAAAAAATAATGCAAACAAATAAAACTTATCTATTCCATTCAGTAAATTGAAATACAATCTACAAGCATGAATGTTAATCAAGCTTAACACTTGAATTTACCTAAGAGTTACAACATATGTAAATATTTTTGAGATAGTACATTTGAATTATACATACATGTTTTTCCTAATCTCAGAACTTTTTTTCTTCAGATACAGTGAAATTAAAACTTTGAGAACTTTAACCGTATTTACATGAGCCCCACAAATTAGTGACTGCTAGCTCTGAGGAAGATTTTTCAACTAGCCACTTACATTTTTGAATGCCTGCATGACTGAAATTAGAATTTCAAGAGTCCACAACTGAATTTTAGGAGTCTTGCAGGCAGGAATAGAAGAGAAAAGGAGGAACTCTTCAATACAGATCTATCAATATAAAACAAAGGTTGGCTCATTGATTGGTTGTTTGGTTTTTCTTCCATCCTTTATTCTTTCAGAGAGACATATGAAATACCCTCCTTTTGAATACAAGAGTCAAATGTCAGCTGTGGAAATGATCATACAGTGCGTCAGATCACCAAAAAAGAATGAGATATTTAAGCTAAGCATTTTTTCTTTCTGGCCTTTATCAGAAAATCACAGGGAAGCAGAACCTGTAGTGGATACCTTAGAATCTTAGATACCAGTTTTAATCTCTCTCTAGGAAGAAAACTAAATTCTCTTCCATTTGGTTTCTTTCTACTTCATATCATCTTGTTCTCAGCCCCAGTTTTAGATAATATAACCAGCTCATTGCCATCCCCACTGAATTTCACAATGTATATTGTATGATTTGGTTTCCCAAAAGGAGTCTCACAAGATTCTGTTTTGCTACCAACTTTTTTTTTCCCTCTCTAAAATATTTTTGAGGGGAAAAATATCAACAAAGATAAGAAACAAACAGCAACAAATCCCTCCATGTGATTACCTCCTTTGTTTCTATGGGCTATAAAGATAAGAATACCATTGCTCAGAAGATCTCTTAGTAGTTCTGATGTGCAACTTTCTGCCTCACTTTAGACAAATTGTCACTGAAATACCAACTGCCTTCTTGAGTGAATGTGCCACAGATAATTATAATATGAATTTCTAAAGTTTTTGTATGGTAAAGGTCAAATAAAAATCTTCCTTACAAAAGCTTGTCTATCAGTTTCCTTTCCTGTGTTCCTCAGGGCAGATCTCAGCTGGAGTATGTTGCCCTAGCTCCAGGAGCCCAGATATTTTACCCCAAACTGAGTGGATGACCTTAGTTTTTAAACACCAGGTTTTTCAGAACAAAAACCAAGAGATAAAAATTACTTTGAGAAACAAGAGGGATTTGAAAGAGAGCTGGAGTGTCTGATGTGACATTTTTCATGTTGTTATATTCAATTTGCAATGGAAATAAAGTGGAGTAGCAGCTCTTCCTACCTGAGGCTCTGTATCCACTAAATGTTACGCACTCCCTGCAAGCAGAGATGACACCTTTTTACTAACTGTCAAAAGTTATTCAAAGGAGGGGAAAAAGTCATTTGTAGCTGCAGAAGTTTGTTTTGGCCATTTTCATAAGCACCTCCTGCTGAGAGTCAAAAGGACTTCGGGGCTGCATTATTAAAAACTGTGTCCCCTTTCCACACTCTGTTTTGCTAATCTGTCTGAGAACACAGTTCTGAGAAGTCACAGTCAGGTTACACTACGGTGATTAATAAATGCAGGTACACAAGACAGACCTAATGCAGTGGAAATGGAAACTGATGATAGACATTTTTGCAACACGTTATATTATTTTCATCTACAAATACTCAATACAATATTGTAATTAAGAAAAAGTTTGAAATACAAGACAAAAGGAGAAATTTACACTGTGTTGTGAATTCTCTCATGTGTTGGCTCACACTGTGTACTAATTAACCATTAATAACAAAAAACAAATATGAAGTCTGTTCCAAAAGTAATACCTTCTATTTTATGATGTTGGCCCACAGTGTCAGAAGCAGATGTTGGGGTATGGCAGTAGAGATTCTCACCAATATTCCTTTACATGTTGTTGCCGTGGGACAAATGGAAGCAGAGGGGGCAGTCTGACAGAATGGCATCCAACATGGTAGCGTGGATGAAATAAAGGAACAACTTTCTCAATGCAGGAACAACTGCAGCCATTGACAATCATGGATGTTTATTGAATGTTTATGGAGACCAAACAGCAGATGTAAGCACAGTGAGGCAGTGCGTGGTGTGTTTCAGCAGTGGTGACAGCAACAGTGGTTCACCTCTGGTGGTGCAGATTTTTATGAGTGCAAGCATACAGACTCTTGTCCATCACTGGGGAAAATGCATAGCTGATGGAGATCACTGTGTTCCAAAATAGTGTTTTGTAGCTGAGAATTTGTTGTATCAATGTTATTGTGCATTTTGGATTTGGTGTAGTTTCCAGGGTAATAAATAGGAAGCATAGCTTTCAGAGTGACCTACATAGTATTATTTGAATACTTCTTCAATGATCGAAGTCAAATGACTATTATTTTCTTACTGGAAACTCTTCTTCACAGAAGAGATGACATTAAGAATGGCATAGATGACATTATCTTAAAACTATTTTTCTTATTCTCAGAGGAAAGATGTATTTGTGGTCTAAAATTGTAGCCATGTTTCAGCTCAGGAAGAGGGTTTGTATCCTCATATTATGCTTTATATTGTAAAGTGGTAAGAAAGGAGAGACATACCCCAAGATTGTTGGAGAGTGCACTCTTGTACTGGAAATGGCAGAAGCTTGTTTCCTAGTTTTTTTCTTATTCTTCATTTTTTCAGAATACCTGGAGTATGACTGGTCCTACATACAGGATAAATTTTAACCAAAAGTTATGTTAACAGGACTGCATAGCCCCGTTTTCAGAATTAATAAAAGCTAAGAAGTAACTGAAGACATCCTCAGAGACTCAGTGTTTTGCTCTTGTCTGTATACTGTTTTCCTTTAGCTTCAAACGTCTAATAGAAACAACGATACAAATGCTCCATCTAAAAATAAGAAGCATAAGGTATAAGTGAAAGATAGGAAAAAAAAATTATGCATGAATTTTCCCATTGTTTTCAGATTGGTTAACAATTTCATGAAATAAAATATTGATTTTTCCAATCACAACTCCAAGCAGAATGTTGTCTGAATTTGGCTTAACCTAGTTGCTTTTTATCAGCATTAAGAAGAAAAAAATTAGCAAAGAGGCTTTCCAGTTTAATGTACCATGGTCCACAGAACTGTTTTTAAGCTTGACTGTACACTGTAGAGCCTTTATACAGAGACAGATAGGGGCATATTTATGATTGTCTAATTTTGAGTACATAACAATATTCTGTAAGAATATTTTGCATATATTAGTAATGAAAATACGCACAAGCTCTTATTTTGGGAAATAATGCATGAAATGTACTGTGTACATTGAATGCTAGCAGGCATATCCTACAAGGGGAAAACATTTTCCATCCTTAGGATTTCTAAGGTTTTGGAACATTACACACATCTTATTTTGGAGATGCAGAAATATAATTGCTGATAATTAAAAACAAACAGTAAGAGAATCAGGGATAGTACATCACAAAATGGACTGCGTTAATTAATAAAATGAGTTCAGCTTTAGTAAATCATGCAAATATCTCAAAATATATTCATTAGTGTTTTGAAGTACATTTTGAAAACAAGCAATTTGTATGCAACTGTGATACAAATGTTCTTGAGGACCAATATGGTTAAAATTTACTCTGCCCGATGATGGTTGAATCGTATTTCTCCTCAGTCAGCAAAAGCTGCCAAAACTCATAAAAAGGAATTTACAGTGGTAGTTGGTGCTATAATCTCAATTTATTGCATTGGCCAGGTTTGCCTAACCTCACATTCTTTCTAATTTCTTTCCTAAAAGAAAGGAGTAAATTTTGACATAGCTTGCAGGTGAGGCAGCGGAGATGGGGCGCAAAACAAAAAAAAAATCTTGAAAACTGAGTCCAGTGAGCATGAATCACATGTTCACAGAAGTGTTTATGTTCAAAGGAGCATGTTGAGGTCGTGTGATCCAAATTAATTAAGTAATATTTCCATCGTGATAAATCGTTCTTAATCTAGGTCATCATAGAGGTGCTTCACACAGGCTGAATTATTTGCTCAGCCCTTTAGTTTAATGTTGAACTATTTTTTATGTTTTGTCAAACACTATGAAAAATAGTAGAAAAAGGATTACAGAAAATATTTGATAATAAAATAAAGAAGGGAAATAAAGCCAAAACATCCGAGTGTTTTCTTTAGTCACTTTAACAAAGATTATAATATCATATATAAAGTCAATTCAGGAAGGTAGAAAGAAATCTTCTTTATTGAAGAAGAGTTCCCCAGCTTTACCCTCCAGTGATCAACATTACAAAACAAGTCACACAATACCAGAATTTAGATTTAGCTCTTTTCTTGGCCTCAGCTGTAACTTTTCCATTTCTATGGTCAAAAATTTTTAAATTGATCTGACTACTTTGATTCATTTTTATTGACTTATGGAGCTTTTTCATTTTTCTAAGATAACAGCAAACTTACTTAGCAGCTTCTGTGTGAAGGTCTGTTCCCTCCGAAGAAATTAAATCTCTAAAATCATCCAAGAATTCAGATTACTTTCTCAGAAATATGCTTTTATGAATAAAATATTTGATCTAATTGAAACAGCTGCTAAATCTCAAACTGGAGTCAAGGATTAGCAGTGGCTACTGACAGCACAAGAAACAATGAGCAAACTTGGAAATTAGTGTGTTACATTTTGATTCAAATATTTGCATACTGTCTCACATAAACCATGTGAGTGACTTAACATATGGTAGATACATAGCTAGAAGTGCACAAACTACCAGAAGCAACTAATACATTCAAGTAAGTATTAATTGTTAGTCTGAAATTTAGAAGCTGTTTATCATAATTTAGAATTTATTGTTGAAATTGAAATTTGCATTTTCCATGTTACTATTTCATGAAGTTCAGAACCATTCTTGCCAGGCAGTTTACCTAAAAGTGATGAGATTTTTATTGCATCTTTTTCTTTTTCTTCTTCTTTTTTTTTTTTTCTTTTTTTTTTTTTTTTCTGTTATTTCCAGCAATTTTCTACAGTAGAAGTATAATGAGAAATGACACATATTTCCATAAGATCCAAGTATATAAAGCAGCAACTGACTATATTTTCAAGCTATGACCTTTCTGATCACATTGATTACTTGAATGATCTTTATCATTCTTACATGTCACAGTAGAACTGAGCTTCTGAAGCATCATGCTGAAGCATCATTTCAGCTTCTTTACCTAAACCCTACCACAGAACACAGCAAAATATCTTCAGTCTTTCCTCCTACATTTTCTTCTCACAAAGCTTCTTCCTACAATAATTTGTAGTACCTATTTGAACCTTATTAATGTAACATACATAAGATGGGTATATACGCATTATTCCAAACACTCAAGAAATTCAATATTAGTGTAGTGTAAAAATGATCAATATTATTTCCTTGTTACAGGTCTCTTTTTCCCTCTCTTGGATGCAGTTCGTTTCATTCTGGAGTGAAACACATTCATCTGAATTTGCCTGTATTCATAGCTTACTTTATGTTCTGCGTTTTCCACCTACCTCTCCTGTTACTCTCCTGTGATTACTATTGAATAATTGCAATGCATTAGGAAGCATTTCAAAATAAATATTATTTTACATTGAATTTATATTTTAGAACTGGAAATGAGTATTCTAGGCACCTGAGCATGCTCTCTTGGAATGCTAATGAATTTTCATTTCCTTTATATTATTTCCTCCCCTCAACCCCTCAAATCAAGTGAACCCATTCAGGTTAATTTCTTTTAAGATTTCAGCACCTAATATTTTATATACAGCTAAATGGTATAAGAGCACTGAAAACAAGGGAGGGTACAAACACATAAGACAATGAGTGGAGGCCTGGCAACCTCAGTTTTGCTAATCAGTCCAGGCTGCAAACTGGGACTGCGGGAAGACAAGGATCACAAGGTAGGTGATAAGAAAGGTTTACATATAATGTTTAAGTAAAATTACAGTGAAAAATTCAACTTTGGGAATTGAAAACATTTCAGCCTTTTTCCTCAAGATATCTTAGGAAACTTGCTGATGTTCTTTTTTTCGACCTTTGATATTTCTGGATAACCGAAAATTAAACAGAAGTATAAAGGTTCTTGTAACTGTTCATTGTTTTGCATAGATTTTGGAAAGGTGGGTATAAAGAACTACAGAATTGATGTGACATCTCAGAGGTTGATGTAAGTTAAGAAGCTTTATCTTCTCAGAGCAAATTCGCTCTTCACCACCCATCTGCACAGAAACAATGGTTTGAGATTATGATTTCTGAAGAAATATGCATGGAACACTGAGAGTATAGAGCTTTCCAGGCTTTTCATAATTACAAACGAAAGTGATACTAACTTCTATTTGTCCTGAGAATTTCAGGATAAATAATGATCCTTGTGCTCTCACCTGATTCTCTAGGCTAGGCCAACAAGCCTTTCTCCACATAAATGAATTAAGTTCAAAAGAGAATCTACTCACCTAAAAGCAGCCACAGATCCAAGTAGGTAGGGTGAGAAATCTGTGGTCTACTAAATCTGAAAAAAAGCAAACAAACTAGAAAAAGGAAGCCTTCTTAGTCTTCTTAGTCTTTTCCGATTGCAGACCTTGTCCACCTTCTGAATTTTAATGAGACCATTTTCATGATCTTTAAACGAAGCCAGCTGATAAGCTTTGAGCATTTGAAATTTGCATGGCAGCATAATAGTCATTTTTCTATTCCATGCATCACTTGCAGTGGAGACTGAGAAAAAAAAACTGGGAAGATAAAGCTAAATGTGAAGTCTCAGTTTTAAACTCTGTGAGCACAATGCAAAAAGGTCTGCCTTTGCCTGTCAGCTCATACAACCTGGCTCATACTATTACCCCAATGACAGCGTTCTAATGACATATATTTCCATAAGTTTTAAAAGTATTGTAGAAAAGCCCATACTTTCTAAGCAAGTTCTGTTAAAAAATAAAAAATGAAAAAAAAAAATCAGGAAGACTGGGACGTGATCTTTGTCGCCCTATTTTTGAAGTTCCTGCTTGACCAGGTGGGGTGAACCAGTAGCCTCTGCCAACCTCAGCCATTCTGTGATTCTAAATTTCTTCAATAAAAAGCTGAGGTGGATCACTATTAAAACAGATAAAAAAAAAAAAAAAAAGAAAAAAAATTCAAAAACCTGGTATTTATTTGAAAGTTTCTATTACACCAGAATATAAAACCAGAAGACAATGAGACACAAAGAATACTTGCTGCCTTTCTGTACCATTGAGTGTCAGGTACCCAGCCAAAAATTGATATTTATTCTCTGATGCATATTATTTATCTTCAGCTTATTGTTTTATTGTTCTAACGTTAGTCATTTACACAACAGATTTCATATTCTCTGATGCATATTGAAAAAATATAAAAGAATTCATATAGCTATTATAGTTAAGAATTGTACTGATATTATTGCTATTTCACATCTATTCACTGTATTTTGACATCTGGATTTCAGCTGAATCCTTAAGCCAAATTAACCCTAAAGTCATGCACTTCATTAGCACCTGTTCATAATACTTTTAAAGTACCTCTTTCTGACAATTTTCTGTCACTTCTCTGCAACTTTCCATTTTGTAACTGACCTTGATTTAATTCTTGTTTCAAAATCAACAAGAACTATCCAGTTTGACTGCAAGATGTTTCACCAGAACATGCTTTGGAGCATTTTTCAGTTTATGCAGACACCTCAGTCTTCATAATTCAAATAACTAATGCTGTCACAGATTCTTGGCCTCCCTTTCTTTTTTTTCTTTTTCCATAATAGGTCAGAGACACATAAATGGATTTTTATTATTATTATTATTTTTTCCCACAGCAACATACAATTCTTGTTAATGTTTGTTTCTTTCCCTTTCCTCTTTCTTCTACCTTCTTAGTGGTGCCAATGAGCGAAAGAGATAAGGTTATCTTAAAGCTGCTAGGGATGCCTCCAGAGTTGATATCCTTCTTTTTTTTACCTCTGGTTATCACAAGTTTTTCAGGATAGCCTTATCTCAGAATTTCTCAGTTTGAATGTTTGAGGTATGAGATAACATCCTTACAATGTTCTTTTTACCTTTCAGTCACTGACATGAGTTCAAAATTTCATTATTATTTCTAAACTCTCCAGCTGGGAATTCCTTCAGTTATTAAAAATGCCAAATGTCAAAACCAGAAAACTACAAGAAATGATATGATATATCATGCGATATGAAGATTTTTAATGTCAACTGTTATTTTTTTCTTTCCTTTACATTCAAAAAACAGTTCATCAGCCCAGTGCAAAGCACTTAGCAACATTGCCTATTATGATATCATGACTCATGCAGTGGTAGCTAGGAAACCACAGTGAAATAGAACCTCACTGGCATAGACGCTAGGCAAATCTGGATTGAGAGCTTCTGCGTATTGTCAGATGCATACAACACAGTCAATATATGCTTAATAATCGAAACCTTTAACTTGCAATTAGTCTGTGCTATTTTGTTATTAATTAGCAGCAGGCTTATAGGTTTATGTAATCAGAAACATTACATGGCATGGAAAGAGTGGATATAAATCTTTGATTCTGTTTAGATAAATCTATACAATCTTCTGAAGGCATTACTAGATCTCTTGTTAAATCTAGACCAAAAGTTGAGGCACACTGCTTCACACTTTAAATTGTGTGCCTTCACATCTGCGAATTAGTACTCCAGAAAACCCTCTCTGCTCTGTATGATCACAGAAAATGCTCTTGTAGAATAACAAAGGTATTGCCAGTGATTAAAGCTCTCCCTACATTGTCTTTTCAACACTCCTGTTAGGAACTTGCTAAGAGTGAAGCTGCCTTCGGTGTGTAACTCTGAAACCAATACCATGAACCACAGAACATGGGATTTTGCAGTCCACCTGTGGCAACTATTAGCACAGTCTCTGACCCATTAATTCACTACTGCTGAGCATCTACAATGTCATGCTGCTAATCAATTAAATGTACTTACAAATGACTTCAAAGTACATGTCTTGCAGTAATTTGTGTTTCTGTACTACTCTGTTTTCTTTAGTTAATCACTGTGTTGACAAAGTATTCACTCAGTTCAGTGGATCATCTTGGGAATGTTGTGAGCACAACAGCAAATATTTTGGACATTCTTTCAGTATTTCTTCCCATTGTCTTTAAATACCTCCTGGAGACTGGATTAGTGGTAATTTTCATGTTATTCCTAGTTTAAAATGACAGAATTATTTGTTTCACTATTTTATTGTACCTCAGCAATGAGTAAAATGGAAGATAAATACTTCTGGGATGATTTCTGTACATTTAAGTGCAGGACACAGAAAATTCATATAAATATATATATAGTGATTTAAGAATAAAAACTTTTCAAATAAACCAAGAATTATTAAGCCTCTTGTAGTAATAACACAAAAATGAAAATACGTTACTCTGATTTATTGACATATTGCCAAGCCTAAAAATGAGCTTAGAAAATCATAGTTTAAAAAGCCAGTTGACTTTTTAACATTTAAATTAAAACTGGGATTAAACCCAAATAATATCCAACAAATTCAATGAAAAGTAGTCTTAACTAGAGATAAAATGAACTGTTGTCTGTGACCTATAATGGCTAAATAAAGTCAATCTTAATAAATTAATTTACTTTCAGTTAAATATAAGTGCAAGGAAGTAATTATTATTTAGCTGCAAATAAAAGATGGGTACAGATGTTGAATTTCTTCAGAGAAGATATTGTGGAGATATGTTATACTTCCCTGAAATCTAACGCAAAAGCAAGGAGTTTTCACATTGTTTTATTATTCCTCTCATACATTAATTTCTCAGCCCACTAAGTATAATAGATTTTGAAATTCTCTCTAAGACTTAAAATGCATTATGATATATATGAAAGCTAATTACTGTGTCTTAGAAAAATATGAATAGGAGAAAAGTTTCTAGATTTGGAAACATTATTCAATAATATCAAGGAGAGAAGAGATTCAGGTCTCCACCCGTGTTACCATTATTCTCTTTAACATATACACAGAAAGTGATGCAGAAAGTGTTTGAGAAATTAATATCACTTTAGAAATTTGAGAATTTCACTTTGAGAAATTAATATCACAAGGAAAAAGGAATAGTTCAAACCACAGTTAAAGACTCTTGTAACCAACATAAATTATTATAAATTACATACATGTCAAGAGCACTTCAAGCTTTGGCAGAAATTGTAAAGGATGGTTAGGCATACTGGCATACTGGCTGAGTTGTTATAACTGTGGAGAGTTCTTACTATGATATAGTCATAGTAGTGTTTTTGTTCTAATTTAAATATGTATTTGTGCCATTAATGTAAACCTGTATTTTCAAGTACTTTGTTTTTTGTCCTTTCATCTTGTTTGACAACAGCCCTCAAACTAAGTTGTCAAATGCATATGAATTACGACTATCATTTTCTTGACAGAGGATAAATATAACTAGTACTTGTGACCTGCATCACTTCATTCATTCCATATAATAAATACAGGAATGCTATGGACTCCATTAAGTTTCTAGTTCCCTAAACTGGAAATTCTATGTGCAAAATAACTTTAAGGTGGGAAATGTTCCGTGACCTTGACTTGCTGGCTGAGTTTTTCAGTCTCAGGATAAGCCTCCCATTATCTACCAATTTGCAACTGAAATTCTGCCAAGATCTAACTTAATTTATAAATCTGAAATTAGTTAGTACATCTTAAAACAAACAAAAAATCCCTCTTTCTCAGGAGTTACTTTCTATCATCATATAATTCCAAAAATGCCCTAAGCCTCTTGGCATGGGGGTTTAGAATTGAGTGATAGAGAAGACTACAAAATGTGAATATACAGCCCAACAGATAGGCTGGTGCTTGAGAAATGTGGTTTGGCTCTTGCAAAGGAAATGATCTATAGAGTTTATCAAACTAAGGCAGCTTTGGTATAACCCTTAACACATTCAAAGCTTATTACTCATGCACTTGTAAGCTGTAAACTTTAGGCAAATATAAAAAATAAATGCCATCCATTTCCAGGTAATATTAGAAATTCAAATGCTAACAGCTTGAGAATAAAGATAAACTAGACTGAAGAAATCCTAAAATTGGCTTCTTACATATAAGGATACCACAAAAGTAAAACTAGAACTTTAATTTAGTTTTGTTTAGGGCACACTTCTGCTCTGCTGCAGTTATCTATATAAAATTGTTTTTTGGCTGGTGTTATGAACACACATATTTCCTCCTGTGAAGGCTGAACATTCTCAAATCACATCCATTTATGCATCACATTATGAGATCAGTGCTATCTTTCATAGATGTTTATACCCAAATAGCAATTCCACTTTTCATTTTACCTACTGTCTCTAGGCAGTATGCAGTTCTAACAGAAGGCTTAAAATATAAATGAATAAATAAATAAAAAGGAACACACTAGTTTTTCAGGCTTAACAGTCCCTGATGCTATGACAATCTCCTTAACACTTCTAGCAGAAAAGGTAGGAGGAGATGTGGTCTGAATTGGTCATAGTCTTA